CTCCATCCCATTCACCCTCCTGGGACAGGGGGATACAGCCAGATGTCCTCCAACCGAAGCAAGGGGGCATGTCCAGGTGTCCCTCACCCCATGAGCCCCATCTGAGGCGCAGGTGTACAGCCAGGTGCCCCCAGCCTTGGCAACCCCACCTCGGGCATCTCAGGCTACTCTCTCCAGGGGTGCTGTAGGAAAAAACACCTTAGACCAGCCGTGCCACCCCACACTCAGCTCTGGGGTGTAGTGGGGTGGGTGCACAGGGCAGCGGGACACAGCACTGTAAGGACAAATGTCATTTGGGTCAGCAAAGCTCATCACCCCAAAATGGGGCACGGAGTGGACTAAGATCTGAACCAGTCAGGACCAGGAGGGGAGCAGAGCACAGTGATGGGACCCTGTGGCAGTTCTGCCACGGGCAGGAGACTGGTGCCAGGAGGTGACAGGCACGAGCCAGTCGTGGGAACAGGGACAGTGGAGAAGTGCCACCACATCCCTCATGCTGCAAGCCACCACTGGGCAGCCCCGAGCCACACGAGTGCCTGCCGGGTAATTATGACTTACGCTCCAGGTCCCCACGAGGTGCAGAGATTAATAACCGTGGTGCGCTGCTGCCAGCCGGTATGATTAAACTCTTGATTAGAAGCTCAAACTACAGTGCCCTGCTAATTCCCCCTGCTCTCACACACCCTTAATTACCCAGCACGGGTGGTGGCAGGCCTGGGGCTGGCAGGGCTCGGTGCCACACAGGGGATGAGTACTGGGGGCACCCCAGCTGGTTCTCCCTTGGAGTGCTGGCTGGTCTCCAGTGAACAGAGGGGAGACGCTGGTTTTGGGACCCTGGTGTCCCCATCCATGGGCGGGAGGGGGCTGTGGGTCCTGGGACTGGATGGCCACACCCCTGTGGCAGCAGGTGCGAGTCAGGAGGGTTGGGGAGCTGGGGTTTGGTGGGCACAGGGGCGGGGGGGAAGTGGGGGTGCAGTTCGGAAGCAGCACCATATGGGCAGCACATGCCAACGTGTGGCACGCAGTCCTTGGGGAGGCTCCACACACGTGGCTGCACGGCGTGAGGCGTGGGGGGGCGAGGGGGCTGGGGAAGGGACCAGTGCCCTGCTGTGCCCTGGGGACCGTGCTGCCCACCCCCGGCTGGGTCCCGTGCCTGGGCTGTGGGCACAGGTAAGACAATCAGGGTGGCCGATTTCTTGTCCCTTTCTTGTTCCTTGCCCCAGGCTGTGGGACAAGGACAAACCCAGTCATGGGGAAGTGAGTAGAGCCTTCGGCCCTGCCGCTGGGGATGAAGTTGCCTGGTTCCCACTGGATGATGGCACGGAGGCAGGAACATGTGTCTGTCTACTCGTGTCCTCGTGGTGCCTTTTAGTACCCTCGGGGGACAGATACCCGTGTATCTGTGTATTTGTGATACCGTGGGCTAAGCCCACGATCAACTTTGCTAAAATTCTGCTCCCATCCCATTCCGGGCCAGGGGCCACGGCACAGCCCAGGGGATCCCTGCTCACCCCAGACGGTGTGGGGGGGTCCCATGGGGTTCCCGGCTCAAAGGGTGTGGCGGTGTCCCAGCTCCGTGACAATCTCCCCGCGACCCGCCCGCTTCGCCCGCTCGCTCCCAGCGCCACGCGTGACCCGTCCCCACGGGCGGGGCGCGAAGTTTGGCAGTGACGTCAGATGAGGGGCGGGGCGTGAAAGGGGGCGTGGCCCCCCACGGTCCCGCCCCCCCAAGTTGCCGCGCCGGGCGCGCGGGGCCGCGCCGCGACGGACCGACGGCTCGGCGGGGATCTGCGGGGATCGGCGGGGATCGGCGGGGATCCGCTCGGCTCGGCCCCGGCCCGGCGCAGGAGGGCGGGCGGGAGGGGCGCGCTCCCCCCGAGCGGCGGCCCCGGGCCGCGGCCCCCCGTTGCGGTCGGAGAGGCGTGCAGGTGAGCGCCGCGCCGGACCGGGGGCGAGGGGGGCCGGGCCCGGCGTGGGGGGGCGTTGCTGGCATCTGTCACTGTCTGGCCCGGGGCTGCCCCCAACTCCCCTCCCGCCCCCGGTGGCCCGGGACGCCCCGACGAGACCGCGCGTATCCCTGTCCGGTGCGTGCGCGCCCCGACGGCTGCCCGCCTCCGCGCTGTCCCCGCCGGCACCCCGCGTCCCGCAGACCCCGATCCCCGACGGGCGTCGCGGGCACGGCGAGCTGCCGGAGCCCGGCTCCCCCCGCGCCTCCCCGCTCGCCCCCCCGGGCCTCTGCTGCCCCGGTGCCGCCCCCGTCTCCGCGAGGAGCCCGGAGAACCGGGCCGGCACCGCGGCAGGGGATGCTGCCGGGGAGCCTCTCCCTGTGGTCCCGGCGCTGAGCATCCCCTCCCGGACCCCGCACCTCTCTCTCCCGCAGTCCGCTCCCTTCCCGCTGCCGCAGCGCTCCGAGCCGGCCAAACGCAGACCTCCCTGCGATGCGCGGCCCGGGCTGTCCCTCCTTACGCCCCGGGCCGGGGGCGGTGGGACTCCCCCAGCCCTGTCTCAGCCCCAGCTCTGCGGCTCCGCGGGCAGCGCTGGGCCGGCCGGCCCCTCCGCCTCCCCTCCGCCTCCCGCTGCCTGCTCGCTCCCTGCACTAGCAATATTTCGGTCCGTCTTAGCCCGGCTGCGTTTTCTGCCTCTCCCCGGTACATCCTTCCCCCGGGACGTGGGGACGGTATGGCAGGGGGAACCCCCCACGGACATGTCCAGGGCAGCTGCAGGTGGAAGCGGGGCTAGAGATTAAATACCAGCCGGTGGCACCTCACGCCGTGGGGCAGAGCTGGGGGTCGAGGGTTGGGGGGCCCCGCTGGCGAGGGCTGCACGGCTGCGTCATCCCTCCGTGCCATCCCCACCCGGCCACCCACTTCCCTGCTATTGTCTTACACCCGCTGTTGCTTCTGTTCCCAAATTAGACACTTGGAGGGGGGTGCTGGCTGCGTGCGGGTGCCAGCGCAGCACCGAGCCTTCCCCCCGGCACCCCGGGGAGGGAGCACTTTCACCCACCTCTTGCCTGGGTGCCCCTGCCCCGGTGGGGGTGCTCTCACCTGTGGGGTGCAGGTGCTGACCCCGACGTTGGGCTGGGTGCCAGCCTCCCTTACAGGGTATCCCAGGTGCGCTGAGCCGCTCAAAGCCAGCCTGGGGCAGGGGAGGGTGGCAATGCTCAGTCCTGGCAGGATGGGTCCCCATTAAACCAACGGGAACTAATTGTATGAGTGCAGATTAGCTGAGTGCTCACAGAGACAGCAATAAAATCCCGATATATCATCCCAGCCGGGTCCCCTTCCCAGCTAATCCTGGCACTGTGCTGCCAGTGCTGGCAGTCTGCCTGCCCACCCGCCGGCCAGCCCAACCCCTGATCACCCACGGCACTGAGCCCACCGCCCCTCCAGCAGCTGCCAGGACAGCCCTCATTCCCCTTGGCCAGGTACAGTGGCACGGAAGAGCCGGTGTCATGTGGCATGGGGACACAGGTGTGCCAGGATGGGCACATTTGCTGGAAGAGCTGCTGGGATGAGTCAGGTGTAGGCTGGAAAGCCTCACCCAATCTGGGGAACAAGCAGTGGTATCCCATGGGTGCTCTGCTTCTCTTTTGGGACTCGGTGCATGCTGAGCGGGACTGGGGCAGGTGCTCTTACCCAGTGCGGGCTTTCCTGGCAGGACGGTGCCTGGGTGCCTTGCAAGCTGGGAGCACCCATCCTGTGGGCATTGCTCCAGCAGGCATGGAGGCAGGTCAACCCCAAAGGACAGAGGCAGAAAGGAGCATCCCCCCATTCCCTGGCTCATCACACTCATGTCCCACCCAGGTTTGGGTCAATCACCCCAGGGAGCACTTAAGTGCATGCCCTGGGTTCTGCAGGCAGCATGCCTTCCTCCCAGGGCCCGCACAGTAGGGACGGGGCTGTGCACCTGCAGGTGGGTCGGGTGCTGCCGGGTGCTGCCCGTCCCTGCCCCCTCCAAAGGATGTGCCGCTTTCTGCATCTTCAGCTCCCATTGCCATAGCAACAGGCTCAGCGCTTGGGTACCCGCGATGCTGGCTCCCGCATCCCGCATCCCGCAGCCATCCTGCCCGCAGCCCTCACCGCCGGCGTGGCACAGCCAGGCCCGCACGGCACAGTGTGCTGTTTGGGGAGCTTTAGCGCTGGGCAACGGGTGCCTGCAGCATCGTGCCAGCTTCCCATCACAAGGTCCCGCTCAGGCCCATCCGAGAGGGCTGGGGGACCCCAGGCAGCTCTGTCATCTTCTGAGCCATCAAAAAATAATGTCAGCTGAAACTTCCTCCCGGTAACACGGTGGGAAAGGGAAAAAAAAAATCACTTTATGTGACCAGGTTTTTTTTTCTGGGAAGCTTCCAAGAAGGATCTGGTTTTGAAGGGGTCCCAACAGGGATGCAAGGGGCAAAGCATCCTTCCTAAAGGGCTGGAGAAGCTGGCGTGCGCCAAGGCTGGTGTCCTGACCGCTGCCGGTGGCAGGAGGGCTGGCACCTCCAAGCTGCAGTGCCACCTGCCTGGTGCCAGTCAGGGCTGGTTGGGGATGGGAAGCTGAGACTGGTGTAACCCACTGCACATGTGACAACGTGTGACAGTGCTCCGCCTGGGGAGGCCCCGTCTGCTGAAATGTTACTGTGGGCAAAACTGGGCTGAGAAACAGGAAAGGATCTGTTCACCTCCGCTTGCCTCCCCAGTGGGTGCTCCAGGCACTGTGCTAACCCTGACTGTTAATTAATTATTAATAATCCACAAACAGAGGCCAGAGGGGCCAGCTTGTGGCTGTGCTGGCAGCCTGAGCCCAGGCAGAGAGGCTGGATGCCACGGGGATGGGTGCACATCGGTGGGGCTGGGCACACGGCGGCTTGCGGCAGCTGCAGAGCACGAGCAGCCGCTGTGCTCAGGTTCCACATTAATTAGCACAGCTTGGGAGGGTCTGCTGTGGCTCCAGGGGGCCCAGCAGTGCCGGGGCACTCACTGCCTCTCCCTGCCCTGCCAGCACCGGGCCCTGCGATGCCGTTTGGCTGCGTGACGCTGGGAGACAAGAAAGATTATAACCAGCCATCTGAGGTGACCGACAGATATGACCTGGGCCAGGTCATCAAAACGTGAGTTGGTCCCTCCACGGCCCCAACGGATGCCCTGGGGAACCCCAGCCACCTGTGTGGGGCTCTTGGGGTGCTGAGGAGTGGCACAACACTGCTTGTGGGGGCCCTGGGAGTGCTTGTCCCCAGCTGGGCTGGGATTGCAGGGTATATTTTGGGATGGCTTTACCCTAATTAGTCCCTCTTGCTCGTGGGTGCATGGGGGATGTACACAGCTAACTCCAAGGAGGGCAGTGAGCTTTCCCTCTGCTGCTGGCTGCAGCTGGGCAGCTCCCCGTATCCCTCCCTCCTCCCCTCAAGATTTGCAGGGATTGCAGCAATTCCACACAATCCTGGCTCCCTCGAGCATTTTGTGAATCAGGAGGGCTCGGCTACAGCAAAGGAAAGGCAGATGTCACTTGGGGGGCAGTGAAGCACTGCTGCTTCCCCCAACTTTTATTGCCATGCTGAAGAACCTGTTAGGATGCGCTCCAAAAAATTAAGCCCTCACGCCCCTTGAGAGCGGCTTGACTGCAAAATAGGCACCAGAATTTTTTCCATCAACTTCCAAAACACCTGCTTGGACAGAGGTCGTACCTGGCAGGGTCACACTGGGTGGCAGTGGGGACCTTGGTGCTCTCAGATCTTTGCTCCATCCTCTGGGCAGTTTGTCCCAAAGCCCACAGGTCGCTGTTTCCTTCCACCCAGGGCAGTGGCCGTGAGGATTTCAGCGCAGCTGGGGGGATTGGAAAGCCAACGGCTTTGCTGGAGCAGCGCCAAGTGCCCCCCAGGGGCTTCCCTGCAGCTCCAGCCTGGCCGATGGGCTCAAGCATCATTAATAATAGAACAGAAATACGGCAGCTACCGGCACATCTTCCTTTCTTTCTCCCCGACTGCTGTGCTGATGCTAATGTTGGGTTTGCTGCTGTTCCACCTTGGCATGAGTGGCTTCGCAGTGGGTCTTACCCCTCCTGTCCTGAGGATGGGGCTTTTTAAACAGCAAATTCTCCCCCTTCCCTATCAATTTGCTTCTTCCATATCAGTTGCTTCTCACTGCTGTTTTTTTTTCTTCCCCTCCAAAGTGGTTTTGAGCCACAGCTTTCTTCTAGTTCTGTGGCACCTTCCCTGACTGCTGGGATCTAGGGGAATGCTGGTGGGCCCAGGGACCACCCAAACACCCCAATCTAAGTGGTCCCCAGGAACGGGGTGATGTCTGGGGGTACCCTTGCAGGGAGGAGTTCTGTGAAATCTTCCGGGCCAAGGAGAAGTCGACGGGCAAGTTGTACACCTGCAAGAAGTTTCTGAAACGGGATGGGCGGAAAGTGCGGAAGGCAGCCAAAAACGAGATCATCATCCTCAAGATGTGAGTGCTGGGGCTGGAGCGGACCTTGTGCTACTGGGCAGTGTGGGAACTCGCAGACATGCCCCTGTCTCTCTTCAGGGTGAAGCACCCCAACATCCTACAGCTGGTGGATGTCTACATCACCCGCAAGGAATATTTCATCTTCCTGGAGCTGTAAGTTTGGGAGATTTGGAAGAGGGAGGGGGTGGCCCCACCAGGGGTGGGTCTCCTCAGAGATGCTGTCTGCAGGGCCACTGGCCGAGAGGTCTTCGACTGGATCCTGGACCAGGGCTACTACTCGGAGAAGGACACCAGCAATGTCATCCGGCAGGTGCTGGAGGCTGTTGCCTACCTGCACTCACTCAAGATCGTTCACAGAAACCTCAAGGTGGGTGGCAGGGGGGTGGGAGCATCCATGGGTGCTGCCATGCCCTCCTGTCCTGGCACTCACAGTCCCTGTGCCAGCAGCTGGAGAACCTGGTGTACTATAATCGCCTGAAGAACTCCAAGATCGTCATCAGTGACTTCCACCTGGCCAAGCTGGAGAACGGGCTCATTAAGGAGCCCTGTGGCACCCCCGAGTACCTGGGTGGGTGAGAGCCAGCTGGTGGGCACACAGGGGTGGTCTCAGCAGGTCCCTGCTGCTCCTTACCATCCACTCCTTATTATCTGCTGCTGCACCTCCCATTCCCCATCACCCTGTGGGCTGATCCTGGGTGCTTCCAGTGGGTGCCTCCTACTCCCCCAAGAGGGGCCAAGAGGCCGGGTGGCTGGGGACCCCAGGGAATGGTTGCTCTTCTGTCTCTCGCAGCTCCGGAGGTGGTGGGGCGGCAGCGGTACGGGCGGCCGGTGGACTGCTGGGCCATTGGTGTCATCATGTACATCCTGTGAGTGTGGGGTGAGGGACAGGGTAGCCACACGAGCTTGGGGCTGGGGCTGGACTGAGCTCCCCACCACATTCCCCAGCCTCTCGGGAAACCCCCCTTTCTACGAGGAGGCAGACGAGGATGATTACGAGAACCACGATAAGAACCTCTTCCGCAAAATCCTGGCTGGGGACTACGAGTTCGACCCGCCGTACTGGGATGACATCTCGCAAGCGGGTGAGCCCCACACTGGGGGGTATGTGGGGTCCCGTGTTGTCCCCTACCAGCACTGACTTCTCCCCCTGTGCCCCCAGCTAAGGAGCTGGTGACACGCCTGATGGAGGTGGAGCAGGACCAGAGGATCACAGCGGAGGAGGCCATCTCCCATGAGTGGTGAGCAGCAGCAGGGTCAGATGGGGAGTCAGGGGGGCTGTTGGGGGCTGCTCACCCTTCACTGCCTCTCCAGGATCTCTGGGAATGCTGCCTCTGACAAGAACATCAAGGATGGCGTCTGTGCCCAGATCGAGAAGAACTTCGCCCGGGCCAAGTGGAAGGTGGGTGTGGCTGTGCCGTGCCTCCGTATCCCCTCTCAGCCGAGCCCGGTCCCCCACCATAGGGCGGGCTATGAGCCTAGTGAAGCTGTCAGTCCCTGCCCCTCCGCCAGTCCCACACCCCCCGTCTCTTCCCCGCAGAAAGCCGTGCGAGTGACCACGCTCATGAAACGCCTGCGGGCGCCCGAGCAGACGGACACGGCGGCAGCCCCGGCCCCGGCAGCGACCCCGGCCCCGGCAGCGACCCC